GGGCAGCTCTGTGCATCATAGGGCAGCTCTGTGCATCATGGGGCAGCTCTGTGCATCATGGGGCAGCTCTGTGCATCATGGGGCAGCTCTGTGCATCATGGGGCAGCTATGTGCATCATGGGGCATGTGTATCGCTTGCGAAGGCGCCAGATTCAAACGCAAGAGGCCTTTAAACCAGGAGCGGGGGGTGTGAAGCAGAATTATAATTTTTAAATTATTTTTTTTTATTAAAGGCTGAACGACTCTCCAGCGCCGTTCTGGATCACCTGCCCTTTTAAAGCTCCGAGCTCCGAGCTAAGCCAGCCTTTGGTAGGGTCGCACTCATTAATTGACAGATAATCAGTTATGATTACCGGAAATTTGTCTGGTAGAAATTTCTTCGACGGAAAATTGATCGACGGAAATTTGGTCGAATCCTTTTTTTTTTTCAGCTCACACTTTAAAATTTTGCGTGAACTATGCTACTTAGTAAAACAAAATAATGCGTTCAAAAGGAAATTTGACGCAAAATTTTAACTTGTGAACTGATAAAATATTCGACAAAATTTGCGTTCAATCAAATTTCCTCCGATCAATTTTTTGTCGATGAAATTTCTTTCAAACAAATTTCCGGATACGAATAAGTTATAGATGTGTAGCCTTTTTTTTAAAGGGCCGGTTATATGGTGTATCGTATAATGCAAACAGGAAGCGTGTGTGTGGTGTAATCCATGTCAGGGGCTCTTAAACTGCGTTGAAAAGGGAACTGCTGCATTTCATTTGTAGTTTTATTATTGCTATTATAATTTACATTTAAAGAAGTGGTCCGTGGACTTCATCTGATTGGTAAACGGTTCCATGACGGAGCAACAACAACAACAATTAGTTTCTACCATACTCCACAGCAGCAGTAAGATGGCTAAGTTGTGAGAAAGTTTTGAGCAGAGTATTTTAGTTATTATAGGAAATATGTGACTTCCTTCTATACACCCACCTAAAGGCCTTCACATCCAAACTCGTATTGTTTTTGGAACATGTACAGGCCAACAACTTGATGCTTTTTTAGCAGTGCAAGGTCTTCCTGGCTGAAGCAACAGCGGAGTTCCCCACGTCATTTGCATGCAAGATCATCAAAGACCTCCAGCTGCAGTTTCAGCAGCGGTTTCTGACTTGGATTCAAAAGCGGAAGAAGTGAGACTGTGTCAAAACCATAGACATAGAGATATATAGACTGACTATCGGCAGTAATCCTTGAAGCCGCGCTGGAGAGTTATTTCCCCTTACCATGCACCCCATCGTTTTCTCGCCAACAGAACGTCCTCGGTAGATTTCCATAATTTCAGAGTGAAACTACGGCTTGTTTCGAGCGATCAACATTATGATAACAATACTCAAATTCAAATAAATTATCTGCATGGCATCGATTTTTGTTTTGCTTAGTGATAGTCCCCACACAAAGGGATTCTCATATTACTATTATTACTATGATCAACAGAGCATGGCATATAATATAATAATCTAGTAGTATAGTATGCCATATATATAAAATTAATTACGGTATATATTAATTTTTTAAATATTATTTATTTATATTACTATCTTATAATTATAAAGTTTTTAACCTCGTTTATTGACGTTAACTATTGAGACAAACTAAAAGAATTTTACCGTGTGTATCAAATTTCGTTTTGATATCAACTAATAAATATAGCAATAATATACATTTATATTTGTTATTTCCTCTGCCATAATAATAAACTAGTATCTATTGTGAAGTAAATAGTACTTTGAAATATGTTGTTTGCTGAAATGCTTCTTTCCAAGATCAATACAAGCTGCCCTTTCCATTTTTACATTGCCTACAGTGTAATTCTTCTTACCCTCCAGCAGGATACACCCAGTAATATTAAGTACCGGGTACTCTAAATGAAAATTTCATAATGAATTTAAATCAAATTAAACTTAAAACTATTCTCCTAAATAGAGCTTGGCTTAATCAGAACAGAACCACACATTTTTAAATCTCTATCTACAATATTAATAAAGAAATCAGGAGAAGGGTCAATTTTTAATTTTAGACGACAGGAAAGAGTAGTTTTGGCAACCGCTATCTTCTAAAATAATTAAGTTGGAACTTTCAAATCTCTTGCACACACAACCAGTTATACATATAACAAACTAAATTTTGTCAGGGTTGTCACTATAATGTAAAAACAATTTTTATTCACCCGAAAATGAGCCAAAGCTCAATTTTACAAAAAGTCAATTTTAGTCCATTTTTAAAAAATCATAACTAATCAATCAATTAAGCTATTCTAAAAATACAGGTTTCAAGTAAAAGGTAATTTAAAGCACATCAATGTGAAATATGAGGTAATGGTGAAAAATTTTTTTTTAAATCATAAAAGATTAAGAAGCAAGATATCTAGTATCTACATCAAATTTAAAACACAAAACACATGCAAATTAGTTATGATGGCATCCCCGTCATCAAGCAACGTTGTCGTTTGTTTTACATGTTGCAGTTGTAAAATGTTACAATAACAATGACATGGTAAATTTCATAATCAAATTCAGTTTACATTTTTTGTACGAAGTGGCTATTCGCATGACCCAGGTATCAGAGAAGAGAGGTCGGGATTAAACGAATATTTAAAATATTATTGTTCGGTTTGTAAGACAAAATAAGGTATCAAATGAAAGATAAAGGAATGGAATATATGTTTATAAACGTACTTCTTCAGTTCAACTAAAATAAACTACCATAAATGACATCCAATTTGGATTTAGTCTAAAGGGACTCGAGTCTGAATAGCGGCTATGCGCAATTAAGGACATTGGACAAAGTTGTTTTTTAATTCAGACTTATGTTATGAAACAGAACTACCACATTTTGGACAAAGCCCCAAGTCAATCTCTTCACTGGTGTTTAAACCGAATAAGTTTAGAAGCTTGTTTGCGGATTTTAATCCCAATCTCTGATTCTGTCTTGTGCTTTGCCAGATGGTGAAAAAGTACTTTGGTGTAGCATAAGGAAACAGTTTTTATGATAACAAAATGTAGCCATGAAATTTGGTTCCATCAAATTGTACATGCTTTCTGATTGCCATCTCATCTAGCATAAGACAGACAATTACTTTTTTGTTTTTGCATTTGGCCTCTTCTACTCGCTGATGAAATGCTGCAAAAGAGGATGATGTGAAACCTGCCGAGTCTGGAATGGAACTGTACCAACGATGTATCTGCGATGGATGTGGAAGGGCACAATGAAATGTTTCGCGCACAAAATTGTGCACTTTGCTGGAATAAAATTTTAATGTCATAGCAAATGCACTGAGTTCGTCTGAGTACTCCCCTGCTTGTGTACCTTTTGACATTCTTTCCAAAATCAATTTAGGTAGCCCTGAATATTTTTCAAGGGTCTCTGCACATCTCTCAGAAAGAAGATCTTTGTCTTTAAGTGCCATAGTAATTTGTTGCATTGTCATAATCTGTTTCTTCTTACGTCTTACTTTTTGCTGACTTAATTTCAACTTTCTCTGGACAGATTCTACTTTTTCAATTGCATCAGCAAGTTTGCGTTTAAGTTTCCGCGGTGATTCCAAAACGCAATAGTTGTGGTCTTCTCCGGGGTGAACCTTAGATGGCGGAAGTTGATTGGCATTAAATTCTAATGTCACATCTGAGGAAGTCCTGGTCTTTGGTGCTTTTCTTTGTGACTTTATTTCCTAAAAACAAAACAATAAAAAAACAATTCAGATTAATAATTTTTTACATCCATGCTCTATACTCATTAATCATAATATATGTCATAGACCTTCTGCTTTTTGGAAGATCTACAGTTCATACTGTGTGCAGTAATAGCAGATTCAAATTTAAATATTTTTTTCCCTTAAAAATATCATTGCTTAGTTTTGTATTGTTTAGCTTTTTAGTGTTGTACAAATTTAACTTGTACAGTACAATGCTTTCTTTATTATGCATAGCATATGCTGGTATAGAATGGAAAGCCACTACTAGCTGGGTAATCTGATTTAGGTTTATTTGTCAGTGCTAAGTTGTAAATGAGTTCTTGTCATTATTTTATCCAATTAAGTATTAATTAATTATGAAAATGTGTTTTGTTTAAAAACTAACTGTATATTAATTTAAACAAGTAAACGTGCCAACCTTTTGCAAATGCTTTGGGAAAGTAAACTTTGTTGGCACGGCCAGCGGCTGGAGTGTTGTTTTTTCTCCAAACCTGTAGAAACAGTCTTCGTCAAAATGGGCCGAACATAAAATAGCTCTTGGTGAAGGTGTGAATTTGTCTCTTCTGATGTTTTGAAGCCATTTCTTCAGAAGTTCCTGGTTCTTCAATGGGAATCTATAAAAGTTATAATAAGAGACATACAATCATACAATAATGCATTTAATCATTTTTAAGACATTTTTTCTTTTCACTACTTGTGCATTTGTTTGTCTATTCTTCTTTTAATCATGATAAGTAAAACATTAGCGAGCATATATATTGATATGTATTGTTTATTTTATACTAGTACTGTTGACTGTAGGCTTACTAGTAGTAGTACTACTACTAGTACTACTTTGCCCATAAAAACTAAAATAATAATTTATAATAGCCTACTTTTACTAAGTACTACATCGGCCTACAAGTTCTACTATCACTTTACTTTGTTCTGTACTATCATAATAAAGACTAATAATACTATAATTTTAATAGTTTTATTAATAGTAATAGCCTAATATAATATTAATTAACTCAGACTCGACGTCTAGTCAAAAAGCGCTCGATAATGGATCATGATTTATCATGCATGATAAGTTAACAAATTCAGCTGGATCTTGAAAATTAAATCCTATTCAAGCTAAATTAAATGAAACACAAACTATCAACATACCGGTGAAAAGTGATTCCTTGCTCTCTGGATTGTTTTGAATCTTTTGTGGCAAAATTATATGCAGCACAGCAAGGCATTTTATTATGATTTTCTTCTTCTTCTGCAGACAGGAACTAAGATGAGAGGTGCGTACGCAAGGGCATTCACTCGATGTGCTAGCTTCACACTTTCCTTCTTTGCGCATGACTAGCGCGCACTCTATATATTTATAGCTCTGTGGTCTTACCATGTAGAGAACTCTGCCAGATCTAAACCCTCGACTTCACGGTTTAGACTCATTTGGTCACTCTACGACTCAACTAGCTGCCGATACATAGGATGGGTTGTTGGCGAGCCTGTCCCACTTGAAGCCGTAAAATTATAAATAGTAATAAAGTAATGTATCTACCCAACATAAGTCAGCCAGACAATTTCATACAGATCAACATTAACATTACAATTAGACTGAGGACTTTAAAAATTAAAATACAGACTTTGGAAATCAAAGTGCTGAGCTTTCTTGTGTGTTTAAAATAAAACGAGAAAAGTTGCGGTATTAAATTTTTTATTGAAAATGTCAGCGTAGTTTATTTAAGTAGAAGATTCACACATTACAAGTAGTTTATTCAGCATCCATTGATCCAACAGACATAGCTGATTAAATCTGACAGGACAGCCATTGTAATAGACCGTATCCAGAAATTTGTTCGAAAGAAATTTCGTCGACGGAAAATTGATAGACGGAAATTTTATCCAAAAAAAGATTTGGTTCAATCTTTTTTTCAGTTCACACGTTAAAATTTTGCATCAAATTTCTTTTTGAACGCATTATTTGTTTTACTAAACTATATCGTATAGAGCGTTTAAAAAGAAATTTGACAAAAATTTTAACGTGTGAACTGAAAAAAGATTCAACCAAATTCCTTTCGATCAAATTTCTGTAGATCGATTTCCGTAGACGAAATTTCTTTCAAACAAATTTCCGGTAACCGAAGTAGACAGCTGATGAAAGACTCAGGGATACAATAACATCAGGCAACAAAAATACATGATTTAAACATGGAAACAAAGCAGGCTGATAGCAAGAGGAAAATTAAGTTTTCTAGATTATTTAAATTGTTGAAGTATAATGAAAAAAAAAAATGGATATAACAAAAACTAGAATAAGAAAAGATCCTCAAATAAAAGTCAAAGGATTTTCTCCATGTAAGCGTCTAAAACTATATTAAAGATTTTAAAATGCATGTTTAAAAAAAAAATGTTTAAAAAAATTGTCATGACCAACTGCACTAAGAAATTATCACCCAAACTTAGATTTATAAAAATGCTGTGAGAAATATAACTCTTTTAATTGAGCTTACAAATCATATGGCAATTTACATGAATTGTCTTCTGGCATCAATAACGAAAAATAATAATAAAATCATAGCTACTCCCTGAGAGTAGCGTCCAACCTTTACACATCAAATGAGATTACAAAACAAAAATCCAATTGCAGAGCTTCTTAATGTTTTTTTTTCAAAAAGTGTAAGATTACAAAATAACAAACAAAACAAAACAGATTTTTGTTTTCTTTCTTCTCAAAGGAATTAAAATTTTTGTCATTTAAAAAATTCAACCATGTAGTTAACATTTTTCACTACATTCTTTTTAATCGATTTGGGTGTTATTAGGTATGTCAATGTTACAATAATGTATAGTGATCATTCACCGTGATCAACAATGAAACATGATATTTAAGTCATATTTTTATAATATTTATACCATTACGATAAATTATATTTTAAAGAATTGGAAGTAAATTCATATTTCATTAAAAATTAAGAAAACTGAGACTTAATGTGTAAAAAAAATAAAATGTTCAAAACATTTATGTATCAGGTTCTGTTCAAATACTTAATCAATGTTTTATGAGCTGTTTAAGACTCTTACATACCAATAAATGTACTTAGAAAAGGAGGCCACCCCCATAAAATGTTAACAAGTTGGAGAAGACACAGTTAAACTCAATTAAAAAGCCATTCACTTAAAAATATGTTGGATTGTCATCTAAGATTGGAATAAAAATGCTAAAAATAAAACCCATTCAAACATCACATGTGATATGGCACTACAAATATAAAACACTTCAAATTAAAAGCGAATTGTCATTTTTAAGCACATGATAACATGTTAAATTTGATTGTAAAATAGTCCTAGGCATTAAAAAAAATATATTCTAAATGCAGTTCAGTAAAATGCGTTACAAGACTTATTTTCATAAATAGGTGAAAAACTATTTAACTAACTAAACTACACATCAAAATCTTTTTCACAAACTTATTCTAGTACTGTTTTAGTTTTTTTTTTACAAATTTACACACACAAAAATAGTAGCAGATTTTAAAAGGTTTTTACTCAGTAAATGATCAACTCTATTTAAGTTTCATCTACTTATGTTGATTTCATACTTGTAAGAATTTATGCTTAATTTAATTAAACAGGGCAACAGGTGCAACAGGTACAACCCAAGAAAATCCCACCCTCATCCGCATGGATCTGTCTTACCATTTCAAACAAAATGATTGAATCCTATCGCAGGTCACACAAAGAAATAGTTACCCGCACACTTGTTCGAAAGAAATTTGATCAATGGAAAAGTGATCAAACAGCAATTTGGTTGAATGGAAATTTGGTCAATAGCAAATGTCATCAAATGGAAATTGTTTCAAAAAAAAGTTTGTTTGAATGTAAAATTTAAAAAAAAAAAAAAAAAAAATTCCATTAAATAAATTTCTTTTAAAAAAAAATTTTCTAACTAAAAAAAAAAAAAAAAAAATTAAAAAATTAAAAAAAAATAAAAAAAAAATAAAAAAAAAAAAAACGNTTTCAACCAAATTTCCATTTTATTAATTTTCCATTTGCCCAATTTATTTCAAACAAATTTTTGGATAAGCAAAAAAAAAAAAAAAAAAGATGAATGTTGCACAAAATTATTGATCAATATGAATATTGCAAGTTGAACAATGGAGATGAAAGAATTTCCTGATAATTAATTAAAAGGCATTGGAATTCTTTAAGCTTGTCAAGCTTAATTGTATACCATTGCTTGTCAAATTTTTATTTGTCAAAAAACAATTTATACTGCCATTTGCCATTGTTAATTGCATGACAACTTAATGTCATCAAATTTTCTCAAATTTTTTTTCTTTTTTTTTAGTGATTAAAATCCATGTTTTTCTATCTCTCCCCTGACAGTTGGTGTACCTGTGTTCTCTCAAAGTTTTAGTTCTTTAAGATATCAAATTCTAAGGAATGTTCCATTCAGTATATTTTTGTTGCATCTTTGGAATATTTTCTAGCTCCATGTGACAGATAAAGGCTGCAGTAAGTCCACATTCAGGTTACTGACTTGCAACAACTGTACATAAAAAAAAGAACACATTTTAAAGCTAAGTGAGAAAATTGCCTAGTTGATAGAAAGAAATTCATTGACAGAGTTTAAATATTGAAGGATATATTCATTCTCATGAGGTTGTTGAAGTCACACATAGTCATCATTAAAAATGCTATTTAAAAAAAAAGGTTTCAATATGAAGAAACAAGAATAAGAAAATTTAAACTCAAAAATAGTTAGTTACCAAATGGAAAAGAGTTACGAAAGAAAGTGTCAAGAGTAAGAACAAAGACACGTGATTTGAAAGAAAGTACACATCAAAGCTAAGTTCCATAGGACTCGGCTTTTTAGCAACGCAAAGCGCTTTGCGTGATCTGAAACGGCAACTGACTATACTAAAACATCCACAAAGGGATGAGGACCGACCTGGGTGTAATTGTTGTATCCAAAGGCCACCCTGTTCCCATTGACCAGCACAGAAGAGGGGAACTTCGTTACACCGTAGAAGTCCACCTCACTTGACCTGATACCTTGACTAGGGTTGTAACCAGACTGAACCACATGGTTCACCAGAGTATTCTGTCAGACATTGGTTCAATAAGGCATAAAATAATTCTATAGTTTAAACATTATATAACCTACACTAAATATAATAATATTTCTATAGTTCAAACACTATATTATAATCTTTACGAAATGATGTAACAACTGAAAGGGGTTCTCTTACTCATTTCAGAGCATTACCCCAATATCTAAAGGCAAACAAAATGACTATATTTCAATGTGATTACTGCACACTACTGCACATTACTGCACACTACTGCACATTACTGCACACTAAGGTTCAAATTAAACATAAGTTCTATTTACACAACTACAATTTTTTCAGTGAATGCTTTGAACTATGAGACCATAAAAACAATGAAACTCACCAGTACACCCCACATACTATCCTCTAAATAAAGGAAATAAAGTAGCTTAGTACAGGGGCATATATCCACACCCCCCCTGTGTAGATGCCCCTGGTAAAGTACTTACATTTGCGTACAGTGAGAAGTAAATGTGAGAGTACTTGGATGATGTGATACTATCTGGAATTATTTTAAAAAACTTAATATTTACCTCAATATATAATTTAATTTAATTTAACATAGTTTTAAAAAGCCATGACATACACTGGTGATAAAGAAAGTTCTGGAAGTCACGGAGTCAGATTGAGATGAGCAAAGGTGTTGTTATTTAAAAACAAAACCCTTTAGCTTATTTCAATAAAACAGCCACAGTGTTAGAATAAATTGTAACATATTTTGGCATAATGTGATCACCATACTATAAAACTGTGTATTCTAATATCTTAATAATGTTTATCATCAACATAGCTACCTGCACTCTCTCCGTCATCCCAGAACAGTTCACCATTTGCAGTGCCATTTTCATTGAGGGTAACGAAAAGTCTAAATTTTTGCTGACGTCTGAAGAATTTAAATTTTTTAACAATTTTTTTCATTTATAAGTCAAATAAAAATTAGGAAAACTGATTTAGAACAAGTTTATGATAAATTTCATTTCCTCATTGTGCTCCTAAATATGACATAATAAAACAATAACAGTTTGATTTAGATGCCTATATTTTTTAGCTAAAAAAACGGCAATTCATTTATGATCAGCATTCCTGGAAGTAATAAAATGATGAACGCACTTTAGAATTTCTTTGAAATGTGTGCAGTTCGTTCATTTCTCCATCACTTACGAAATATCTGTACGCTCTGTGGCCGGGAGAAGTGGAAGAATGGAGCCTCCACGAACCAAAACATTGATGGTGTTCAAAGGCGCATTCAATGTCAGGTATTCCCCTCGAGCGGCGATGGGGTGACCATCATAAAAATCATACCATGTGTCATTGGGAATAAAGGCATTCACGAAAACTTCATTCTAAAATATTATAAAGATAAAAAAATATAAGAAAAGCAAAAGTTATTCATAAATTAACATGAAATTTTTATACCAAGCAGGAATTTTGAAAAGTAAAAAATTTTTATTTTTTTTTAAATTGAAACAATTTTTTTGGTAATAGTGTTTGACTTATTATTTCATATTTTTTAAATTACAAATATGTATAGTTTAGCTTTGCATAATTTTAAATCTAGATGGTGCTGAATCAAAGTGTTACAGTTTCAAACAAACAAAAAATTAAAAGTTCTGATCATGTGTACAGTTTTGTACCAAAAAAGAAAAACCCAAATTCCCAATTAAAGACAAAACTATATGCTTGACCTCATTCAACACTGGCACCACCATGAGAGAATCACTCCACATAAACTGTTTATCTATGGTCTCTGTGCCCTGATACCTGGTTAGATTAGAAATAAATGTGACTAAAGTCATTGTTAGCATACAATTTGCTTTATATATAATAATAATAATAATAATAAAGTTTATTTGAAAATCACACTTCATCCCCAAAGGCTTGAAGCGTGGTACAAAGTCAACCATGTTAAAAGAGAAATGAAAAAAAAATCTATATTATACCACATTGAAATACAAAACGCAAAATTACAAAAACTACATACGAGAATACCCATTCTAATTCTTTCATCCCTTACAAACATAAACAATACAAGCCAATATACATCTAGGACAGTGGTTCTCAACCTTTCTAGTGCCGTGACCTTTAATACAGTTTCTTGTGTCGTGGCGACACCCAGCCACACGATTATTTTCGTTGCTACTTCATTAGCTGTAAGGATATGTGTTTTCAGATGGTCTTAGGCGACCCCTGGAAAAGGGTCCCGCGAACCCCAAAGGGGTCGTGACCCACAGGTTGAGAACCGCTGATCTAGGAGATAATAGATCAGCTGGAAAAGATGGTAGACAAAATCCCCCCAGCAGTGATGGTGGCTTAGATAAGTTTATCAAGATGTCAACCTAAGAAACCTTTGATGAAAAAGTTTACAGATAATCCTCAATAATAATTTATCAATCAAGAACGCCTGGCATGAAATTAAACTTATCACCATGTCTCTATTTAATCACTCAATTTCCTACAGGTCCAAGGTTTATTTATTTGAATCAGATTGCCAAAACTTTGTCAGCTGATTTTAGAGGTGTACCTATGCCAAAGAAAAAGACTATGAGCCAATCCTGGTACAGGCTCTATGAGCCCATCCTGGTATATCTATCTTGCTCAGCTATGAATCAGCTCAAAGGCTTTTCAAATCAAATGTTCACTTTTGATAGAACACTGATGAGGTTAATATCTAAAGAGACCATCAATGCTTACAGATAAAACAGTGGTCTGATGACAGGCAGCCCAACGACATGAGACTTGAACAATGCCGTGTACAGCACAGCAAGAAGTGTGTATCTCAGCTTCAGTGCATCACGGATGTAGCCTAGATATGGTTCAGCAAAAGAGCCAGGGTCTTGGGCCTGATATTTTAAAAAAAACGATTATTATAAAATATGTTGTAAAAAAATGTAGTTTCAACAAAATATTTCATTAAATAACTAGACCAAGGTGATAAAAAGTGGACTAGTTCAAAATACAGAAAGAGAAAGTAGACATATCCTCATACCGGTGACCCTAAGTCTGCATGGTTCCTCATAAACGTATAGAAGACGCCAAGCTGGTGCCAGCGGGTACAAAGTTGTGGAGTCGTCGTTCCTCTAAACCCACAAATGTCAGCGCCGATGAAAGTCAGGCCAAACAGATTAAAGTTCAGAATGCCTGGGAGCAAAGAAAACAAGAGATGCATCATCTATGTTAATCATAAATTTTTGGAGATAGAAGGTAAATGTTAATGTTTGAAATAATATCTTTAACTTTAACAAGACGAATGAAAGAAGAAATTTAAGAGTGGCGGTTTCTTAACGGAATAAACCATTGATTAAGTATCATTCTTTTGCTTTCACTTTCAAGGGAGTTAATACCCACATTTCATTCAGTAAAACAAAAAATGATGTACATCAAACATTAAAAGCTGATAAAAAATATATTTAACAAGTCATTCATTTTAACAAACACTTAGTAGGATACACACAAAAAAAGACCGTCCGCCACTTTTCCTATTCATAGTTACACTGTTTTCAGAAGTAATTTGGTAAAAGTGAACCAGCGACAGAGGAATGTTCAACTTGAACTCATATATATATATATATATATTATTTAGAACTAGATATAACCCGCCAAACAATGGCGACCGCAATGTGTGAACTTCCCATCTAATAAAGTTACTTGAAAAAACATGCATTCAATTAACGCACTTTATAAGATGGCCACTTAGTGTTCCCCTCTGAACTATATTAGTATTCTAATATCCACCACCTTTTATACCCAAGATTTATTTGAATTGAGACTATAAGACCATAGTTGAATTGAGACTATAAGACCATAGTTGAATTGAGACTATAAGACCATAGTTGAATTGAGACTATAAGACCATATTTGAATTGAGACTATAAGACCATAGTTGAATTGAGACTATAAGACCATAGTTGAATTGAGACTATAAGACCATAGTTGAATTGAGACTATAAGACCATAGTTGAATTGAGACTATAAGACCATAGTTGAATTGAGACTATAAGACCATAGTTGAATGGAGACTATAAGACCATAGTTGAATTGAGACTATAAGACCATAGTTGAATTGAGACTATAAGAAGACCATATTTGAATTGAGACTATAAGACCATAGTTGAATTGAGACTATAAGACCATATTTGAATTGAGACTATAAGACCATATTTGAATTGAGACTATAAGACCATATTTGAATTGAGACTATAAGACCATATTTGAATTGAGACTATAAGACCATATTTGAATTGAGACTATAAGACCATATTTGAATTGAGACTATAAGACCATATTTGAATTGAGACTATAAGACCATAGTTGAATTGAGACTATAAGACCATATTTGAATTGAGACTATAAGACCATAGTTGAATTGAGACTATTTCCATAAACAAAAGAAAATATTACTCACCAAACGCACTCGCAGAATTTTTAAGGGTGCAGTTGTCTGGAATTTTTTGCGAAATCATGGCATCTGGTAGTGTTAGTGACATTGTTACACAGGGAATGATGTATTATGATGTTATATAGATGTCTAGTTACCTGGAATTGAGTAATAAAGATCATCATAGTCTGAGTTGTTATCTCCCAACCAGTGCCCTGTGTACTTTGCACTGCCGGCAAAACTTGATCGAGTTATCAGAGGGGTCCTTTTATTGGGAAAAATGGTGTCTAGTACTCTGCAGTAAAAGATGTTAACATACAAATAGCATTTTGATTTTTGGTCTCAATGAAGATTTCTGCATAATTTTGTTTAAACTTTAAACTATCATCTCAACAATAAGACTTTTTATTTTTTTTAAATATTTAATTCTATAGATTATCTTTTGTTTAAAATTTGAAGGGAAAGTTTAATATTAATTTTAAATACAGTAATTTAAATGATTGAGGACACATTTCTTTAATATTATAATTTTCTAATATCCTCAACCCAAGTGGTATCATTATGAAAACTTAAATACTCTATTTAAGCACCATACAACTTATTAATTTTAATATAAAAATATTTTAAACATCACTAAAAAAAAATTTCAATTGATAAAATGAGGTGACAACCCGCTGAGAAATAATTTGATAATGTTACTTACGCCCTGGTAATGTTGGCCTGAGACCACCCGTACATGTTGTGTAGGTTGTAATGAGAAGAGATGGCATGTTTGGCAGATGGACAGATGGTTTTAGAGTACAGGCTACCACCATCAATAGCTGTTTGAGCATAGACGAAAAAAGCAACATATTTTATTCAGTCAGTTAGAATATAAAGATAGAAAGAAAACACACAGAGAAGAAAAAAGGTATCCAAAAAAAGCAAAGTTTTTTATTTCAACTTTTAACACTAAAAAATTCAATAGCTGCAATGTTTTCTAATTAAAAAACAATTTTGACAGGATTAATTTTTTTCCAAATATCCCATGTAAATTACAAGTTTTAAGAATACAAAGAAATAATTTCATATATGGTGTTTTAAGAAAAATTTATGTGAAAATGTCAATATTTTTATAATGGTAAATTAATTGCTTTCGTTTCAAAATGGCTCCCATTGTGTAATAAAAATATCTGCTGAGTTCAGTAGTTGGTGATAAACTTACTGGCGGGAGTAAATGGCGGATGGTCCAGAGAGGACTGAGTGCAACCATCAACTGACCCATCTATAAAGCTGGATGGCTCATTCATGTCCTGGATGAGAAATTATGAAATTAACTGCCATCCAGTTTAACAATATATCTTTTACTCAATCCACATGAAACAAGTTCACACATATAACATGATATAAATGTACAGAGAAATTGAACAGCAATGCTACTATTTCCAAATTATTTTAGCAAAAATTTAAATATAAAGGAGCCTGACTCACAATCCAAAGTCCATCAAATGACAGAATGGCATGGAACTCACTGGCCTGCTTGTACCAGTATTTATAAGCATTTGGGTGAAAGAAATCTGGGAAAGCAGTCTTGCCTGGCCAAACCTGCAAGGAAATGTTTACAACTAAAAAATTTATTTAATTTCTCAAGCCGATATTTATGTCTTGGTTTAGTCAACATTTGAATTTGAAATGTCTTAAATATGATTAGAAATTGTTGTCTAGGAATAAGTGAATAAGATTATATCATGGCAGTGGATTTATCAGAAAATTATTGACTCTAGGAATACATCCTGGCAACGTGATTTAATATCATCAAGTGCTTGTTGCCCTTTAAAGATAGAAGTAAGCTGAAGAATGATGTCAGAAAAAAAACAACTTCATTAACACTTTGCTTAATTGAGTTTTTGTCTGCATTTGGCCAAACTTAAACCAATAACTTTTAACTAATCAAAGCTGTGAGTATATTTTGATATCAAAGTGGTAAAAAAATGAAAGCTAAAGCAAATTAAAATCCTTCAAACACGTAATATGAAACACTTATTAGTTCCATTGTGTCTCAGGTAAAAATGTGCATGTCCTTAAAACTTAGTGTTAGATATAAACAAAATCAATGTGTTTATATCAGAAGTGCGACATCCCCTTTATCACGCTCAAGATGTGAACTTACTGAGCCGATAAGAATATCACCGTTGGCCTTCTTGACAAATACGTCCATTTGTTTACCATCATCAAAGGGGGCATAACTTCCTGAGGGTTGCTCACTTGAAATTGCAGGGTCCTACATGCGAAATAAACAAGTCCATTTTAGTTGACACAAAAAAAAAAAAGAACCTTGATGTTGTAATCGGCAAAGGGGGCTATAGCTTATCAGCCATATAAGACTGGGAGAAAGAAAGATGACAGTAGCCAACTGTTGCCAAGCTTTGGCAATAAGTAGTTTTGTATAAAGTGATTTAGTCCTACTTACGGCCATAATGATATATCTTTGTTGGTTGCTGTGGAGATCTTGAACAATGCTTGGTAGGCCAGCAAAGTTGTTCTTGTCATAGGTCCAGTCCTTATGGCCATCCATGTAGTCTATATCTGTCCACTGGACGTCCTGGATGCATAAAAAATGTGAGAAAGTCTTTCAGAGTTGTTAGATTATTCATTTCAATACAGATATCACAGGACTTAGGTCAAATAATGCTATTGAAACTTTGGATATAATATAATATACCGGTATTTCAAAAATTATTTCTTGCTTCATAAGCCAAATACTTCACTATGTCTAAAAATGACAAGAACATTTTATAAGAAGAGTAGAAGTAATATAAAAAATATAAATTTCTTGTTTGTACCAAGATAGCTGTTAAATGTCATAAAAATAGATTCAGCTTAAGCAAAACTCATGGGCACACTTTACTTAACTCCGATATTTATCTCTTAACATGGATAATGTAAATTAAAATAGATCTAAGCCACTAAAAAGTTACACCCTGTTAAATGGTAGACATTAACTACACTGACACAGTAATCATACATAAGGCATATTGGCATCCCTGTTCCTTTTTATCATGTCCCGCAGTGCTGCAGAATTGGCAATCCCATATTTGCATATATGAAACCCCAAGGACCAAAATGGAGGGAACTGTGTCCGGCCGGTGATTTCGGTGTACTGCGAGGCTACTGCAAGAGGACTGGGTCCCAAGACAATGAAAAAGTCAAGGATGCCACCAAGCATTCGATAAGTGACCGCACCATTCTGGTTCTGGCCATACAGCTGTAGAGCTACCTCTGTTTTGAAAATACAACAAAAATAAAAATTGACTTTGCTTTTATTGAGGCCATGGACAAAGGAGGTTGACTAACTTGAAGGACACTTGAATTACATTTTTTTAAAGTTAAAACAGAAGTTGCTAATCTTAATTTGAAATGGCACATTAAAATCAAAATAGTTGAATAAAGAAATTCCTATTTGCGGCGATGTGTCCAATGCTTGCATATTTTCTTGTCTTAAATTTTCTGTAAACTAGTCAACTTATGTAGACAGCACTACTGTAACTGAGAAATACTCTCAGGTCATTCATGTTAGCCATCTCCTTCTTCCATCGACCATGACAGTCACAAGCACTCACATAAGGGATGGAAGCATTCCTGTTTCTTTGTATCACATTCTGCAGCTCATTAGCCGAGTTGTAGCCCCATTTACATAGGTGGAAACCCAGGGACCAAAATGGTGGGAAGAACGTTTGACCCACAATTTCTGTGAACTGACTGGCCACTTTGACCGGCTCAGGCCCCATTACTATGAAGAAATCAAGAACGCCTCCGAGATAGCGATAGGTGACAGCACCGGCTGTGCCAAATGGCTGGAGTGCCACTTCTGAAAATGCAAATTCACTTATTTCTTGATATATTTTTTTACGTTGATTCCTTAAGAAACTTTAACAAATCTAGGAAATGATAAAGAAATCTTTGACCTAACACCATATTGAGAAAAAATCAGCCAAATATTCTGAACAAGCCATTCACTTCAACTCACCCCCTGCATTACTGTTCAGCAAAAAGACACCATGAGCATCAGCTGGACCTTCTGAGGAACCACTTGATGGCTCCAAGTTTAGGAAGAAAGGATGAGTTCCATAGCCGTTATTATTAACCTGAGAGGAAGAAAGGATGAGTTCCATAGCCATTATTATTAACCTGATAGGAAGAAAAGGATGAGTTCCATAGCGATTAGTATTAACCTGAGAGGAAGAAAAGGATGTGTTCCATAGCCATTAGTATTAACCTGAGAGGAAGAAAAGGATGAGTTCCATAGCCATTATTATTAAAATATCTTGCATTATAGACATGTCAAACACATTAATATACAAAACTGTAATGTCATTATCATGTTTAATATCACTTATTTCTATACTTCCAGATTAAAATGATTTCTGTTCATAAGATTTTTCTCTTTGGGCGCCAAGAGAGCTAAAATAAAACAAGAAGTGGTGTTTTTTTAAGTACAACAATCACACCAACGATGTTTAATGCAAAGCCCTATTGAGCCTGTGAGAATGTTTGTGTTGTTCTTCAGTTGGGAGGCTACCATGACCACTTTAATCATCATAGTTTGTGCTAGTTCTGTCTGTGGCTGCGCAGATGGCTAATGAGGCTGATTCTGGCACGAAATTCTCTTGTGCAGTAGGTGCAGGGGAATGATGGCGTATCTCTGGGAGCAGAGTCAGACCGGGCCTTCCTGGCATGTCTCTTGCTCTCTGCAGTCGCTGTTCTGCCAACTTCATTTTGCATGGAGCTCCTGTGTAAAGTGGAATGCCATGAAATTCGATCCTTTGCTTTTTCCTCCCAAACGTCTAGGTTTATGTTGAATGCTTTCAGTGAGGCTTTTAGGTTGTCTTTAAAGCGTTTTTTTTCTGCCGGCCAGCAGACCGCTTTCCTTGTTCACCATAGAAAATTCTTTTGGGCAGATGGTCATCTGACATTCTCACAACATGTCCAGCCCAGCAAAGCTCAGACTTCATTAAGATGGTAAAGATGTTGGGGAGACCTGCCCGTGTGAGGGTCTGGGACCCTTTCCTGCCATTTAATGTTGAGTATTTTTCAGAGTCTTGTTGTATGAAAGTGGTTCAGCATTCTTGCATGGCGTTGGTAGACCATTCACGTTTCACTGGCACAGAGAAGCGTAGGGAGAAAAGCCGCCTGATATACTTTCGGTTTAGTTTGAGTGCTGATACCTCTCCTGGTCAGTTTTCCATAGGTTTCACTGGCTCTCGCAATATGGAGGTTAACCTCGTCATTGATGGTTGTGCTTTGGGACAATGTGCTGCCGAGATAAGAAAAGCCTTCACCACCTTAAGTCTTTCGCCATATACTGGGATGTTGGGCTCAACATAAGGGCTTCGAGGAGCTGGTTGGTATATGACCTCAGTTTTTTGTGTGTTAATGGTGAGCCCTAAGTTTGTGCAGGCATTAGAAAAGTTTGAAACGCAGCGTTGCATATTCACTTCTGATACAGCGTTTAGGGCACAGTCGTCTGCATACAGAAGGTCCTTGATGGTGTCTGTCAGGACCTTTGTTTTGGCATGTAGCCTCTTGGGGTTGAATAGATTACCGTCAATTCGGTATCTGAGGCCAATTCCAGCGTCTCTCTCTTTGAAGGCGTCGGTCAGCATTGTGGAAAATATGAGGCTGAAAAGTGTTGGGGCAAGTATACATCCTTGTTTCACGCAGTTGGTTACAGGAAATGGTTTTGATGTCTCTCCATTATCCCGAACTCTAGCCTGCATAGCTTCATGGAATAGTCGTACCCTTGACATGAACTTTCTGGGGCATCCATAATTGGCCATGATCTTCCAAAGGGCCTCTTTACTGACAGTGTCGAAAGCTTTTGTCAGGTCTACATAGGTAGAGAAGAGGTCAACATTTTGTTCCCTGCACTTTTCCTGTAGCTGTCTGGCCACAAAAACCAAGCTCATAACCCGATGTATCATTTGTTAACAGAGAAAAAAAATTGTTCAAAAAACTTGTTTGTCAGCCGATTTATTCGTTAACTGGGGCATTCTTTATCCCAGATTCCACTGTATTTAATTAAAATTAAGGATAATAATGTATCATTTAATTTTATGAGTTAGCGAGACAAGCACTGAGAACATTGGTACTAACCTTTGGAACATCATCCCTGTTCCAGAAGACCAGCCTCTTCCAAGAAGACAGATCCTGAGCAAAGGTGCTGCGATGTTCTCCAATGCCATAGAGAAATTTACTGGCAAGTCTGGTGGCAATCTGCAAGTACTGGTCAGAGAAAATCAGTGGTGCCGTGCCTCTTGTGTCAAATCTAAATAAGAAAAGTTTTCCAATTATCTTGACTGCGATCTTGAGCATCCTCTTCTCACAAACTTAAGTCAAGGATTTACAATATATAGAACTCAAAAACCAAAATGATTGCTGAATGTGGCCTTGGCAGTAAGAAAAAGCTTGATGGCTTTACTATAGGTTTCTTTCAAGTAAACATAAGGCTCTTTAAAGATTCAAAATAAAAGACATCCTGAATTTTGTGAGCATCAAATTTAACAAGCAAATCTAAGACTTGATAGAAAAAATGTTTACTTGATAGAATTAGTTTATAAAATAACCATTTTATTGTAATCTACCTGTAGTTTGAAATAATTTTTTAAAAATTATTTTTAAATCAAGAATGCAATTTACAATGAGATTATCAAGAATTTCAAAACAAATATTTTTGCACACCATGAGCTGAACTTCAATACAATGTAAATATATGTCATATAAAGCAGTCTAAAAATAGTTATTAGAATATAAACAAACATCCCCCACTCAACTCTTTCCACAAATAACAAGGTCAAGTGCCACAATCCCTACCATTTATACCTACCAGTTATTTTTCAAAGACCCTTTCTAACATTCTGATAAACCTGAAGTGTTCTATTTATACTTCTGATTTACAATGCCAAATGCCCAATTTGTAACTCTATAAATAGTGTCTAAATAGAACCCCTACTTTTGGTTCACACTGGCATCAATTGGAGCAGGTTGCTAAAAAAATTGTAAATCATTTTAATTTTTTTTTTTTATGTGTCCGGGGGGGGGGGNGATAACTTACACAGTAGCCCCAGAATGACCCACACAATAAAAACTCCCCAAAGATAACTTACACAGTAGCCCCAGAATGACCCACACAATAAAAACTCCCCAAAGATAACTTACACAGTAGCCCCAGAATGACCCACACAATAAAAACTCCCCAAAGATAACTTACACAGTAGCCCCAGTAGAAACTCTTGTGACCACAATATTAAATGGTGACATTACGGTGACATTATACAGTGGGTTCAGAACACTGCTGGAACCAGAGGGCACATCCAGTGGAACTTCAAACCGCGCATTGTTTGGATCATAAAGCTGGAAGAGAGGTTTCAAACACATTTGATTCTGGTCCAGTACTTTAGAATAGCCCATCAAAAAGGCAGTACAGATAAAACTTCTTAAAGCACAAATGAAAACTACTTATTTTATTTATTTTTTTTGCAAAGACATAATAATAAGGTAGTTTTTTTACAAATTTTAATATGTGCGTTTGGAATATATATTAGTAAGCACAGCTTGGGGAAAGTAGTAATGATATAGTCAGTGTTATGTCCATTTAAAAGTTGCCATCCATTATTTAGGAGATGATTCAAAACAAACATTAGAAGCTTCTAATTTTAAAAAATGGATGACTTGAATTTTCAAAATGTATCCAGAAAGCTGAGTGCCATAAATATTTGAATTTACAACATTTATAATACAAGAATGTTGATTTTTAACACAAATATTTTAAATATAAGACCATTTATCGGGTCATAAAAGCATGAATAAAGTTAGTTACTTTTCGGCATTATTTTTCTAGCCATCAATGCTGACCACCAACCCCTACACCCCCCTCACTCACCCCAGTACATTAGTATAATAACCTACCCTGATTCGCAGCCGGTAGTCATTCTGGAAGTCGACTCTCAGTTTCAGAGTTTTGACATCTGGAGAGAAAAAGGTGCTGGTCGTCCTAACAAGCGTCGCATCAATCCCATTGGACGAGACGGTCACTTGCCTTGCATCGTATCCACTATAGTTGGACGGAAAGAAACAGTAGGGTGCCGTGTTGGGGACCGTGGCTGCTTTCCAACAACATCCTCTTCTGATGCATCCTTGCTCCGATGCTCCGTTTTTCTCTGGCCAGCAGTCAAATCTATCGTTCTCGTCGATAGTGCACTGGTCAGCCTGACCGGTGGGTCGCTTGTACAAGGATTTCGATAGTGACTGATAGATGATCAAACAGATGCATGCCAAGAGACACAGGACCAGCAAGCAGCTGGCTAACCTTAAGACTTTACGGAAGAGTTTCCCACATTTGGTTTCATCTCTGTGGTGTTTCTCTAAGCTTATTTTGTAAATAGCACTGTTTAGATTGCCATACTTTATGTTTGAAGATGGCTTCTGCTTTACAATAGAGGTAGGTGATTTCCAAATCACAGAGTCTGCCGGCTTGCGGTTTTCAGATTTAAAGATGGTCATCTTTTAACCTGAAAATATTTTTTTAAAACTTTTTTAAATGATGGTACTTTCTGATTATTAATTTGAAATATTTTTTTTTCACTTGTTATTTTTGGTGACAGCTAATTTTTAAAAATTAAAATGTTAACTATAAGAAAATATAACTAAACAGCTTTTCACTGAAGGTAAGCCAAATAACTTTTTTTTAGAATTATATCTAAATATATCTTAATATCCAACTATTCAGCATAAGTACTTCAGCTACAAATATATTAAGATCTGATCATCAACAAATGACAGTTAAATTGCTTGCTAAAAGAATGTTACTGATATCAATGTTGATCACACGTAACCTTGTATTTATAGGACAAAGTTTTTAAGGACTATGTGGGGTGATGTTTTTTTTTATATTCTTGCTTAGCAGTCACTACATCTAAGTTTTGAGACACTTGTTAACTTTAAATAAGACAAGTAGTGAAAGAGAAAATAGGGCTACAAATATACAAGTTTCTATGAAAAGTAACATTTAATAAACTCTTCCTTTTATTGGCAATGAATTTGTAAGTTGAAAAGGTTACATTTTTTTGGGTATAATTAAGATAATTCAACACTTATTTAAGGCAATAAGGGCTAGGATTAGGTCCCTGAGCTATTTATATGCCTACCCCCACCCCGACCCCTCCTAAACACATCAAAAGTTGTTTTTTTTATGTATTCCCCCCTCCCAAAAACTCTTTCAATGTTTTAGTTTTTATAAAAATTGTAATAAAGTGGTGTAGGTATTTGGGCACAAATGTAAAAAATTCAACAAGTGATGCATAAGTAAAAAGCAAGACAAATTATTATTGATTGGGAGATTAGGAAAATTTAAAAATACTATTTTCAAAGACTTTTATATTTTTTTTCATTTACATTTGGACATGCCGTCAAAACCAAGTTTGAGAAATTATTGGATTATTCTGTAAAATCTAAAAAAAAAAAAAAAAAATTTTTTTAAATCTCTTCAAGTTTGAAAAGAAACAATAAAAAATTGGGAGATTAGGAAAATTTAAAAATACTATTTTCAAAAACTTTTATATTTTTTTTCATTTACATTTGGACATGCCGTAAAAACCAAGTTTGAAAAATTATTGGATTATTCTGTAAAATATAAAAAAAAAAAAAAAAAATTGTAGTAAATCTCTTCAAGTTTGAAATGAAACAGTTAAGACCAGGCCATCAATCACGTGTGATGTAAGGACAAGTGCAAGCCATTTATGTTATCCATGTGTCAATCAATTCTATTTTCTTATCTAGTTGCATTTAAGCATGATCAGATAACGGGATAAGTTTGTGAACTTTCACGAAAGCTTTCAAATAATGCATTTTTAACACTGATGATTAAGCCTATACGCATACAAAGAATCCCACCGTAATATATCACAGAATAACTGTCAGATATAGGTGATACATTATTTCTGCCTCACAAATAAACCCGACTAAATAAATTGTCTTATAGGAAGGCATATCTCAAGTTGAAAGTTATGATTTCTGTCACTAAAAATGTAACTGAAATCCCGACAAATGGCATTTTATTTTGTGTCCATTAATATTTTAATTAAAAGTGTGATCGGTGTCATAGAAAAAGTGGCGTAGCTAGGATTAGTGACTCCTAAGCGGCCCGAGAATTCATATTACAATTTTGTGACGTCTGGAAAGGTAAAAAATGACCCAAATGGTGTGACATGGATGATGGCCCCTAAGGATAAAGTTTCCTCAGTAAAGACACTGATAAAGAAAATTAAAAATATAATAATAATTAACTATTTTCAAGCATATCAAAATGTATAATAATATATAGTATATATATATAGATAGTTATTTTCACAGTGAATATAGTGTATAGTAATAGTCAGTGTAGACAGTGATGGCAGGACAAAGTGCCTGACACAACAGAGGTTTTGAAATGTGCCAAAATGTGTGGCATGTTCTCCACTCTTAGCACAATGCATCTTCAATGGTTAGGCCATGTAAGGAGAATGAATGAGGGCCAAATTCCAAAGGATCTGCCGTATGGAGAGTTGGCAGAGAGGGCAGGGCTTATCCAACAGCTGCTGCAATGATTTAAGGATGTTTGTAAAAGGAACATGAGGGAAGCCAACATAGAAATCAACAAATGGGATATGACCGCTGAGAACTGTTCCAGCTGGCAAACAGCCGTGTATGAGGGGGTAAAGCAGGCAGAAGATGTACACAACAAAACCTTTACAACAAAAAGAGAATTATGGAAGGCCAAAGTTAACCAGAAGACGAGGGTCTCCTGCGAGAAGCGCAACCAAGATTGCAATTCCAGGATCAGCCTGGTAAGCCATTTGATGAAGGGTCAATAAGCTGCTCTATCCTCTCACAAAGACAGAAAGATGTCATATATATAATCATTGAGCGTTTTAAATTATAGGCCTATTGCTATTTATAGGCCTATAAATAATATAATATACTAGCCAATAAACCCAGCTTTGCTCAGGTTTGTATCCAGAAAAAAATTATAAAGCTTTAAATATAGGGCCCTGTCAAAACAATTTTTTTAAGTACAAATTAAAATGAAAATTTTTTTTTCTATAAAAAGCCAGATGTATAATAATTATTGTAAACATTGAATTTGGGGCCCACGCCATTTCCATTAATAATCAATCGCCAGTGACAAAAGCTATTGCAGGAACCTATTTCAAAATGGGCCATTTTAGTTATCCCTAAGATACACTATACAAATCATTCAGATTGGGGAGGGAAGGGGGGGGGGGGTGTCCCCCCAATAGTACTAAAAACACTGCTCTGCAAGCATAGAACAAAGCACTACACTTTATAAGCACTTTATTGTAAAATGAATGCACCAAACAAAAAGTCCACAGAAAACCCTCTTTTAATTACCTTAATAGATTTTTGAAATCACACTGTTCTGAATAAAAATAAAATTTTTAAAAGCTTATTAAAAATGCGCATCCCAAAAATAACTTAACTTGAATGTCCCTCGAAGCCATTTAATTTTAAAAAAACTTTATTTTTGTTAGTATTTATTGTCTACAAATAAAGATTTGTTTAAATTACAGCTTTTGGGATATGGGCATTATGACCAAACTTTCGAGGAACCATCAACTTATAATTTATAGGTCAGAAGCCCGAGGAATGCTCATGAATTCATGTCAAATTTAGCTGTGATCCTTTCTTTGGTTTTCATGTGATTAATTGACCCATTTACAAAAAAATAGTTACACACAGTCACAGACACTGAGAGTAAATTAAATAAATACACCCAATATAGTAGTAAAGTATTGTTAAGTGTTGCAGTTTATAAATATTATAATTATATAATATATTTTATAATGAAATGATAATGATTAATCAGATTAAGCATTCAATGGATTAAATTAATGATTCAGAAATTTAATGAATGATTAAAATTTTATTAAAATTGTTTTCATTTTGAATAATTATTTGATTGTCAATATAAATTAATATCATGACTTTAAGATCTAAATCTATGTCCTATGCCTATGTCTAAGTCATGTACAGTAGAACCTGGTTACGTCACCGGCCTTGGGATTTGCTATAAATAGAAAAGGTACTGCAAGCCTCTTGCTTCTTTCGAGTCAAGTTAATTGTGCGGACAATGATATGTGGCGAATTGGGCGCCTTTTGTACTCAGCTATCAGTGATCAGGGTTTGGCTAAATAAAAGAATCAACATAACCAATGAGAAAATGCTAAGACAAAGAGAGAATTTGGCGACTCCACATCAAAAAGGTTGACATAACAGGCTTGACGAGTTAACCGAGGTTGAGACAGATAAGTGAGTTCGACTGTAACATGTTCATGTATCAATAATTGTTTTCGATGGAGTATGGATGGTCATAGGAACTGGAAAACAAATTATCAGACTTTAATGTTCTAATAAAAAAATACTAATAAAATCCTAATCATTAATCCGAGTAATCCTAATACTAATAATAATAGTAGGCTAATTTGGAGAGATAGCACCCTGACGTTATTGGCGTGTTTTGTTAAGTTAATTTGCTGTTTTGGATTCACTCCTAGACTCCTGACTCCTAATAAATAATATTTTAAATAGTTTTTAATAATTAATACTTTCATAAATACTAATATTAAATATTAATTAGTATTTAGTAATAGTATATGCGGCCATGGGTCTAAAATATAAAACAACAATGAGTAGGCCTAAACACTTTTTACTTCATAACAATAGCAAATGCTTACACTCAGATGACTTACACTGTCTGCTGTATCAAGTCAGCTGATTTTTCGTTATAAACCATGATTTATCCGGTTCATAGTCCGAGTCAAACATTTTTAAAAATTTTATATTAATGGACTGGAAGTGCGTGTTTAATTATTTTTAAAAAAACTATAGCTCAAGTAAGATCAAGCGGTACGAACTTAGTATTTTACTTTTACCGATATATAACATGAAAGAAAATAATTGTTTGAATCTTTTTACCAGAGCAGTGCTGAGTGGTGTTGCAATGGGAACGAAAATGGAACCCAGATATGTGTGTTTATTTATGTGCCCTTTGGAAATCTCTGGTGAGAAAACTATAATGGCATAATCCTTTCCCTGAATACTTCAAACTCATACAAGTTGAAAAGATATATTGATTGTGTAAGAATTACCCATATTCTTCCCCCCCCCCCAAACTTGCTTAGACCAGTGATTCTCAACCTTCCTATGCCGCGACCCTTTAATACAGTTCCTCATGTTGTGGTTACCCCCCAACCATTACATTTATTTTTGTTGCTACTTCATAAATATGTGTAACACATGCCCAAAATGTTCAGAATCAAAGATTGTTTCACTTGCACAAGTCTCAACGTGATTTAAATCCCCCTTGTAAAAAGGGCATAAAATCCTGGATAAATACAACATAAAAAACAAGCTCTTTGTCCCGTTTCGAAACATTTTAACTGTGCTAACCAAAATGGAATATTGGAAACGCAGTTTCTGATATTTTGTATGCGAGTAAGTAACGCACCTGATAGATTTTATATTTTAAGCCAAACTTTTACGAAACAGAGCGTTCACCAGCCAACACTGTCGTGGAATTTGACCTAGGGATTAGCCTACCACAACAGTACATGAACGACTTCTTTTCCAACGTTTAGATAGGAAACCACAAGTTGTGCTTTTTGTACAAGTTCGATAATTCAATAATAAGTTCTCGGGAACCCTATGGCACTATGCCAGTGGTTCTCAACCTCAAACCATTACTAAATAATAGCAGCTAGAAACTATACTATAATTGTCAGCTATACTGAAAATAGTCATATTTATACTTCCACAAACAATTATATTTAGTCTTTAACAATCTTTTAATTGATTCTGCATTATAAAATTTAAGTGTAAAAACTTTTTAACGTGTTGATTAGCAAGCTTAAGATGTAATCAAATGTTTTTTCCGACAATTTTGTGTCATTAAAAATACATCAGCACAGAGTCAAACGTATTTATAAATTTATTGATATTATAATGCATTTTTAGGGGGGTGGGGTTATAAAATGTTGAGATAATTAAATAAGGGGTCATCGAAAGTTTGACAGTTGTTGACAAGGGGATGGAGGGGGTCAAAATTGCGGGAAAATTGTTGACGTAATTAATGGACGACCCCTTATAAGTCTTCGAGTTTTTGGTCCTGGATTTTGACTTTTATTCATCTTGGAGTCTCCTAGGGATTGTCAATTTACCGCAATAAATCTGCGAGAAGTCAATAATAGACAGGCCTGGCCAATGTGTGGCGTAGTTGCTCTCTGGTATGTTCAAGTGACCCTATTTATAGTGAGCACGCCAATGGGCTTTTGGGTTCAAATTTTAAATCATATCCCTAAGTCAACTAAATGCGCCATTTTTCATTGGCCTATTTGGACGCTTTGTAAGTAGAAGCACATACGCGTTTATATTTCTGTGTTTGCAGAATGCTGTTGTTAGGGGTCAGGAAGATCTCAGGTCATGGTCTATGATAGGCAGTGTTTAGTAGCTCCGTCAATTTGACTAGTAACAAGGATAGTGTGCTTGTTGAACACACATCCGTCCACTGAATACTTACACGGAATTAGATACCAGTGTATGTGAGTATTACACGCAACTGTTATATCGTTCTGGTTAAACATAATGCAATCTGCTTATAAGCGAAGGATTTTTCTAACCAGCGAATATTCCTAAAATATGTGTGCTGGGTGGCTGAATGGTCTAAAGTGAGCAAATCTCAAGTTGGTGGTCTGGAGTTCAATTCCAGCCAGAGCCCAGCAATAACACCACCAGCGGGTAGATGAGACTCGTTAACCTTGGATGGCAACTCATAGTAATTTCTAGACCTGTATGTCAGCTCTCACAAAAGACGGTGTACGTGCTACAAGTTACTTAATTAGTGTTGTCGTATGGACTTTGCTCCTAGGAGCGCACCTTTATAATTCAAAGTGAATAAATTTATTTCAATATCAATTTTAATAACGTGCAGGGTTAAGATTTACACAAATTTAAAACAAATAAAAGTTAAAGATGTCAAACGGTTTAATTATTCTAGGCAATTTTAGGCTTCGATCCATTTACTGTAATCTCTCTCCGCACTTTGCGTATGTTCGATTGCGTTGGGAATGACACCCTCACACATTTGGAATGACACCCTCACATCAGGATGACACCCCACGTCAGGATGACATACTCGACATACCCTGACACGGGGATGACACCCTCACATGAGGATGACACCCTTACATGGGGAATGACACCATCACATGGGCGGATGACACCCTCAAATTGATCAAGATGACACCAACTCAAAACAGTAAAATTGAACATAGTTCAATCAAGACGTGTGAGTTTAATTCAAGAGCAGTGTTCCACCTTTTAACAGAGTTGGCTAACACCGGGGCAGATTGCCATAAGAGCAACATGTCACCAGAGACAAGCGACGATAGTGACTCTGACATGGACATTGACTTTGACCTGATAAGCTATTATTATTTAGATGACTTATTTCACACTGTGAAGACTTTAATTGCGTTGTAATGAGTGGTTTTGAAGAAGTTATGAAACGTGATTGTGTGCTGTGTGAGTATAGTGTAAAAAAAAAAAAGTCTGTGTTGTTTTATGTTGCTGTTGCTGTTGTGAGGAAGAAAGTGGATGAAGATGGAGATGCGGAAGTAGATTTTTTTTTTCAAAAGTGAGAAAGTGACTGTCAAATTTATAAGATCACATAAAGGAGTCATTGCCTGTCTGCCTATAATAAAGACATAAAATGCAAACTTACAAAATTACAAAAGACTGGGACAGTTAGAACTAAAGATGTTTTTTCATTAAAAAAATCTGAGTTCTTTAAAAGTGAAATAAATCTGTGCTATTGTTATTATTTTGCTAAAATTACATTTTGTCTACATCGTTATGTTCAATAAATATATATAAAATGTAAAATGGTTTTGCTTATCTTTTTAATTACATTACATATTGTATGGTGCATTACAGCTCAACATAGAGAAAATTAATAGAAAATAGGTAAAATATTAATTTGTTTTAACCACTTTTTAGTTAGCTGACTATTTCTCCCAACATGGTGGTTCATTTCTCCCTTCGCTATGCCCATTTCTCCCAACCTACATAGTCATCGGTTTCTTTTGAGTTTCACAAAATCTATCAAATTTATCAAAATGCAAATTAAGTTTTTAAGTGTACATTTGGACTGGCTATTAATAAGCCAAATTTTATGGTCATAACTTTCAATTTGTCAACACCATCTCCATTCTTTGACTGATGTTCATTTGGTGGCCCATTTCTCCCGACTCTCCCCTACACTAAGGTATTAAGTAATCAATTTCAATACTTATTGTTTATAATATTGTTTATAGTATCTATATTTTCTTTTAAATATGCTAAGACTTATCGCTTTTGCATATCTGTTAAACACGAGGAAAAACATTTTAAAGAGACAGTTCAAGGGAAATAACATGTGTATGTATAAAGAAAAATAACTTTTTTTTTTTTTAATTAAAAAAAAAAATATAGTCTAGTTTAAAATCTGGGGGAGGGATAAATTTTTGTATAAAATTGCTTAAATATTTTAAATGTATATTTTTTTTTTACTATTAATTTAATAAATTTCTCAATTTTTATTTTTAAAACTTTTAAAATGTGTAAAAATAATTTAAATTATTGATTTATAATGAACCTTAAATAAAATTTATTGTTGTTAATATATAATAATAGTGGAAATGTGACGCGTTATTAAAATTGATATTGAAATAAATTTATTCATTTTTTGTCCGGCCATCATAAGGCCCATCACAATTAAATACGAATGAGCTAGTCAGACGATAACGCTAACGAAACGATTTGAATATTAACGCTAACGAAACGATTTGAATACATTTGGCTTCTAACAAACACTCTAACAAACACCTGTGGTTATATTCTAATATGCCACGGAAATCGAATAAATTTAAATGTGCTTAAATATGAAATACATCAGTTTATTAGTCTCGTGATGGGTGATTTGAATAGATAAATATAATTTCATGCATTTAATTTTGTAATAAAAAATTACCCTCACATGGGGATGACACTCCACATCGGGATAATACCCTAACACGGGGGATGACACCTTCACATGGGGATGATACCCTTACATTGGGAATGACACCATCACATGGGCAGATGACACCCTCACATTGATCAAGATGACACCAACTCAAAACAGTAAAATTGAACAGAGTTCAATCAAGACGTGTGAGTTTAATTCAAGCAGTGTTCCACCTGTCAACAGAGCAGGCTAACACCGAGGCAGATTGCCATAAGAGCAACATGTCACCAGAGCAGACAGACACTGGAGGAGGTCCATGGAGAAGTCTGGAGTGGGTAACACCATGAGTCTATCGCACTGGGTGACACCAACTCTAGTGACGCCACTGAGCATGAGATAAAATAGTTGACTAGGCAAAAATAATGCTTACGCCACTAGATGTTAGCTTATGCTAGCTGCCAAGCCACTAGAAATCACAACATGTTGGTTGCATTTTTAAATTACACTTGTGAGAACAAATTATTTCAAATCTAAACCAAAAAAAGTTTTTTCTAGTTTCAAGCAAATAATTTTTTAAAAAAACAAAGTATAATTTTTTTCTTAATTTAATTTAAAATAACAATAAAAAAACAACAACACAACAACTGAAAATAATGTTTATTGTTATTTAACAAAAGTATATTTAAAATTCTAATAAATCCTAATATGTTGGTACTTTTCAATGTTTATAACAGTAAAACGGAGGTTGCAAAAGTTCATGTAAGATTACTTGGAGCAC